GTCCGCAGCAGCACCAGCACACCACTTTTCGCGTTCAAAAAGGCATGCGAACAGGGCTGGGCACTGACCTGGATGTTGTTCCCATATGCCGCCGAGCTGCTACACCCCTGGAATATGCTTAGCCAACACAGTGCGACGACGAGTGGGCATTTTGCACTTTCGCTGCTTCATTAGTTCCGATTTACAGGTCTCACTTCAGTGAAACCTGTAACACCTGTGAAGCTGGAACAAACTCGTCGAGCCGCCATGGTGAAACCTGCCAACTCTTGTAAGCTCATGAAATAGCTCTCTAGATGGCTCGACACGTCGATGGAAGTAGCAAAAGTGCAAAATGCCCCCCCCCCCCCGTCGCCGAACTGCTCTTGCCTAGCCACAGCTGAATGCGCTGCTTGTCTGCGCTTTGTCACTTCTGAATGTGTTCTACCTCTGAATGTGTGCTTCGCCGCGGGACCTTGGCAAGATCTGCACCTTAACGATAGCGCGGGCGGAGTACGGAGACAGAAGCCGCATACCAGTATCCTCCAACGTTGTTCCCGTGAACTTTGTGCGAAACCGTTCTTCGTGGCGAGAACCGTCTTCGGAGGTGAGTGTGCTGTCTTTCTTGAAGCAACTCTCATCCATGATCGAGTGACCTATGCGCACCCTCCTAAAGGCAGCCGACACTCATTTAGCTGCTGTAGGTACAATTTTCTATTTTACACTAGTTGCTTATCAAGACTCGACCTCTTTGTCCCACGGGGCACGTCGTATGTTGAAAACATCCATCTACCCAGTCACCCGAGCTTTTATGGTGCGCTCCATTCAAATAGTCATCTTTGCCCTCCTTCTACCACCTGTACAGAATGACCCAAAACAATCAAAGTGATCCGTTCGCGAGCCGTTACGCTGCTCAACACTTTCGTGAATACTGCCTTTAGAATCAACTCCTCAGGTTTGAAGTACTTACCCATATAAGAGTCTTCCATTGATTTCGTTGCTGCAGTCGATGTAAGTGCCTTCGAAATAAGAAATCAGTCGCATCGCAACTTCTTCAACGTGCCTGCAATTCAGTGTTAGTCAATTATGATACTAATGCAACTATCACACAACAGGATTACCAGTACAATGTCCTAAAGAAATTCCACACTGTGCTCGCGGGCGATGCTAATGGGCCCACCCTCTGAGCAAGCGTTCAGACTTCGCGACGACCCGTGTGATGTGCTACTGTTGCATCGCGCCTCGCTATAAAGGGGAACGCAGTCATAGACGGGTATTGGTTGGCGCTGGTCGCAACAGATTTGAGAGTGTGGGGAATAGGAGGATAAGTTATTCTCATTCCCCATACACTCAAACCAGGTAAAGTAGCGTCGGATCACATTCTTGAATGCTCCTGTTTCTCCACATTCTCAAATCAGGAAGCGACCAGCGCCCATCGATACCTGCCTATGGCTGCGTTCCTGTCTAAAACATTTGAGCGCGGCTGCCATGGTGGCGCGTCGGAGCAGAGCCTGAATGGTGCCTGAGATGGCAGAGCAGAAGGTTACCAATAAGGAACGCGTAATGGTTCAGTGGCCACAACCCACTATAATCGTACGGATGTGGAACTTGTCCTCAGAGTATAAGCAAACAGCAAAAAATTCGTCCCCTGAACTGGATGGTAATCAGAAAAAATTGCAAAGAAAGAGAAACGCACTCTCGTGGCCATCCTTGGACGCTTATCTCGCCCTCACTTGTATCACAATCGTCTGTTGCCTCATAGTCCGGCGTCCAGGTTTTGTCTACAATCTCCAACGAGTAGGTCAGCTCATCTGCAGCCGGCTTTTCCTCGCTTAATTTCCTGTAAACAGGCCTAATTAAACAATGCTGTTTCATCAAAAAACTCGCAATGACGCTTGTTCTAAGCGAAGATCTAGAGCAAAATGAAGAGTACCTTATAAAGGGATCACAGGCCACCCGCACTTCTTTAGTTACACTAACTCCAATGCAGTAATATGGTTTCATGACTATCTGAACAACAGTTAGTTTGAAAATGAGTACTCGAGAGCACACTGTAGATGAAAAATTAAAAATCACTCTCTGAGAAGGATCGTAACCATTTGAAAAATTGAGCTCCCTTATATCTGTCGTCAACAAATCCATCACTTGTAAACCACAATCAACATCCTTGAAGACCAATTCAGCCTGCTGGCTATCAGCTTCGTCGTCTTTTTGCGGACCCTTGTCGAAAAGATGCCAATGCCATGGAAGGCTACGGTTCAACAACTAAAAAAAACGCAGAATTGTCAGCAAATACGTATTTAATTGTTCGAAACGTCCAACGCTGTTCCATCATAAGAAAACTTGATGGCAAAGTAATACGAATATACGATCAATAAGAAAATATGATCCATAAAAATTTCGAAGTTCATCTATTAGATTAACACGTTGACAACCGCGCGGCTTTTTACGTTTGCGGCCTCGTGGGACATGCGCGCTTTTTCGAACGCCACAAGCGCCCACTCTGTCCCGCGAAGCCCTTTTTTTGGAGACTGGATCAGGAAACCTGGTTTAGAGAGCAATTATGAAGTAAGTCAATCATTCACTATGGAAAAAACTAGGCTGGCCAACTCTCGTTGCACTAGGTGCCAGAAATTTGTCTGTAACCAATGTTTTCATAAAAACACAAGTCGTGCCTTCTACAGGAAACCTTCATCTTATAATTTTTTTTATAATTATCGATATTTTATTTGTTTATATTTATTACTGAAGAGTCGCAGAGCAAACCAGAGTTGAGGAGTAAACCAATTCAAGCAAAGGGCTATCTTTCCCCAAAAGTCCTTGCTAAACTAGTGTGCATTAAACTATTCCATGGACTTGCGTTGTACGAATATACTAAGGACCAAAGCATGTATTGAATATGAGAATCTAAACAAAAAAAAACCATGCACTAGTGAAAGAAATGGATTCCACATCGTGATTCGTATTACAATGCACGCGGTCCACGTGGCCTACAAAGCGTGCATTCAATGCGCATCACGCGGTCGTCAATGTGTTAAACGATTTCTTTTCGAGTTCATAAGGCTGGGTTCATACTTCGCGGCAGCATCCAGCAGCGTCACCAGCGACTAGGAAACTACGTCTACGATCCATGGACAACTCGCACTCAACTCCTCTGAACGCGCCATCTCTCTGTTTTTCTCTGCGCTCTCACGTCCACGTATCCTTTGCCAGAGTGGCCTTGCACATTCAAACTTTTACGCCTTATAAGGTGCTCATTCATCGCGAGGCCCCTCCCCCTCACAGAACTCACGCCCTCGGTATGTTTTTGCGCCGCCATCCCCTGTTTTTCTGCGCCCTGGCCTTTCGCGCCAGGACCACCACGATAAGTCCTAGTTGTCACGCAACTGCGGGAAAGTAGGACGGAGAAGACAGCTGGATTAGGAGTCGCGAAAATGCGGCATGTGCAACTGCACCGCGGTGTGGTTGCACACGCAGCAATTTCACGACGCCTGCTCCAGCTATCTGCCACCTCTACGAGCTGTATGCTTCCTCCTAAGTCCAAAAACTCTTCACTTCTGGACGCTGGTAAACGCTGATGGACGCCGCTAGACGCTGGTGGATGATGCCATTCGCTAAATCACTATCCATTTTCCAGTCGTGGGCGCTTAAGCGTGCTCGAAACGCTGGTGGGGTGGTGGACGCTGCTGCAAAGTATGAACCTGCAGGTAGAACGTTGCCACTACTCAGCCCTCATCGGCACCGCGCCCTTAGTAGGGTATCTGACATGAAATTGCTACTTAGCTTGGAGTGACTCATTAGACAAAGAAAAGTGGAAAGGGTCAATGTGAATAGCTGATTTCTGAAGGATCTCATCAAAACTAGAAGGTAGTGGTGTGGCCAAAAAGCTGTGCTGTCGAAAAATGAGTCTAAGCAGAAGAAAGGATAAAAGCAACAACTTATAATTCTTGAACTTCAACTGTCAGTGTATATTTCGAAAAATTCAGAAATCCAAAGAAAAACCTACTTCTTTCCACTCATAGATGGACAACGGATAGGGGTCATGCCATTCGTGATTCCTTATCAAGTACTCAATGAGTGCACGATAGACGGTAACTCTCGCTTTTTCATTCACGCTGAACAGGCATTGGGATAATGAATACAAAACAAACCATTAACCAGAATCAAACTAAAGACACATTGCGTAATTACAACTCGCGGTCTTCGGGGCCTAATTCATAGATGCTATCGTCCTACCAGTGGTGAAAGGAGGAGAAATTGGTCGAAGAAACCTTAAAGGCAGTTGGCACGATAAATCCCCCAAGACGACTAGGATCAATACTCCTGGCAGGATAGAATTCCGCGACCCTGGGCAGGCGCTGCATAGCGGTTTCCCCGAGGAAGGTGCCCTTATAAGGGCCCTATCAAGCCTCCCAAACGCCCGCCACGCCCGCCCGCCCACAAATGGACGACCGTTCCTGACGCTCGTATTCATTCATTTGCTAAGCAAATTATGAACTAAGGAAATTATGAAGCGAAGGGATTGGGATGCTGCATGCACACATGGGTACATAGATGCAGCCGTATCTTCGGTAGCGGTGATTGGTAAGATGCCTACGGGAAACTCCGAAATCGATTTTCAAGTCACTGAGAACGGAGGCTTTTTCTTCGCAGGATTTTGACCGTTTCACTCCGTTCTTTCGCCATTTCCCCACTATACAGCGCCCTACTAGCATTTTAGGCTAAGTAGGAAACCATCGTGCCAACTGCCTCCGAGTAAGATCCTGATAGGGTAAATGTTCCAAGGAGCGAGATATTGTGAGCGAGAAATTCGCGGGCGAGAGGTAATGGATGAGAGTGAGAGAATAAGAAAACGAGCTGAATCCCATATTCCGCAATCGATCTCCTACAACATCAATAAAAAGCGTCTTTTTAGTCAAAGAATCACTGCTCGTCCTTAAAGGCAGTTGGCACGATGGTTTCCTACTTAGCCTAAAATGCTAGTAGGGCGCTGTATAGTGGGGAAATGGCGAAAGAACGGAGTGAAACGGTCAAAACCGGCGAAGAAAAAGCCTCCGTTCTCAGTGACTTGTAAATCGATTTCGGACGAGTTTCCCGTACGCATCTTGCCAATCACCGCTACCGAAGGTACGGCTGCATATGTGTACCCATATATGCATGCAGCATCACCGCCGCTTCATACCAATCCCTTTGCTTCATAATTTGCTCAGCAAATGAATGAATACGAGCGTCAGAAACGGTCGTCCGTTTGTGGGCGGGCGGGCAAGGAAGGCGTTTGGGACGTAAAGTTGTTGCTCAATAGGGCGTTATAGAGGTACCCTCCTTGGAAAAGGCTTCACGCAGCGCCTGTCCGAGGTCACGGAATTCTGTTAAGCCAGTTGTACAAATCCTACACCTGTATAGCGATTTATCGTGCCAACTGCCTTTAAACGGAATGCATCTTCAACGTAAGGCATCCCTTCAGCTATGGACGACGGAAGCACCTTCGTAAAACCCTTAACGTGAGACAACCCTTGAGAACGCGGACGAGACCTCTTGCATGAGGACGGGATCCTCCCCATCTTGTAACTACGGAATATGCTTTTACAGGCGTAATAAGCAAAGAACGTACTCATGCATCCCTTTAAAAGAATGATGTAAATATACACGCTTAACGAGAACGCCATTCACTTCCAATATCTGACGGATATACTTTTCGAACAATGAATCGTGTTGAAAATGGTCCGGAACGCACCCTATTTTGATCTGAAGACAATTTTTGAGATCGTCGGCACTATATACCCCTTTCTAAACCAATCATTCGAAGAGCGTATCAGGCCAGTTTTCGAGCGCTTCTTTCCCCAAGGGCACGCTTGACCTGAAACTTGTCCCCGAGGGTAGTTTGACCCACGATATGAGATCGCTTAGCTCAAAACCACTTGGAGACCGTGCGGTTGCCAGCGCCAAAACACCTAAATCACCAAATTCGCCGAAAACTTTCTTCGGGGCATTTTGACCTTCTGACCTTTTCGTTCGCTTAGCTAAAAAGCGCTTGGTACTCGCGCTGTAGGCGCTGCTCGCTGAAAACTTGACCTCAGGGTAGTTTGACTTCCTGAACACAAGTATCACATCTGCATGGCGGGCCAAGAAAGTTAGGGATTAAGTGAAGGGGTACACGTGAAGGAGCTGCCTGCTTCTGCCCGTCTGCACCCTTCCTCACCCCCTCCCGAGTTAGTGATCCCTCCATCTACTAAGGCTAAGCCATAGTAAAGAGAAGGAGCACTATCACATGCAAGCAGAAAGGATTCTGCCTTTTCAGCGTGCCTCACTTACAACCCTAGCACACCGCACATCACGAAACTAGTCCGCGTGGCCTGAGACCGCTTGGTGCCCGCACCACAAGAGCCGATGCTAAGGAGACATACTTGCAGGGGGTCAGACTACCCTTGGAGAGAAGTTTTCAGCGAATTCGGCGGTTTGGAGTATTTTGGCACCTGCGTCTGTGGTGCGGTGGCCAAGCGGTCTCAGGCCAAGCGGTGATAGACATGTTTACGAGGTCAAGCTACCTCAGCGGACAAATTTTTAGCCAGATCCGTCCATTGAGAACAAGGCCGCTGGCCTCATTCCGGATGATGGGAGCAGTAAAGGGTAAATAGTGCCACAACGTCGTGCAGCTATGCAAGTCAGAAGAGTCACACAAAGGTTTTGCTGAAGCTGAAAAAATAGTATATCAAAATTACATACCATCGTATTATATTGATCGTTCTTCTCTTGACATTCGGCAAAGAAATTATGTTCTATAAGTATCCTCTTCGCAAGCATTTGGTCTCGAGCATCCTCGAGCTGAAAGGGCTAATCTTAACACAAATGGATTTTTATGGACTATTACTATGGAAGCTTACAAAGACTACTCCAGTTTTCTTTGATGGCGATGTGAACCATTTTGCACGATAAGTCATGCTTACATTTTCAAAACCACTCCAGTCAGATTTACCAGTAACGAAAGCACGAGGAAACAACTAAAATGCACCTCTGAATATGAAAGAGATGGAGATCACCAAAATAAAGTAACTAATCGAGCTCAAAATGAGCCAATTATGGAAACAAAAGGGAAGCTCACCCTAGCAACACGACGATCCTTGTTTTTCAAAGCAGCTTGACATTCAGCCCAAGAATTGAAATATACCCGCACTGCGTTCTCATACTTCTCACCTTTGTCTTTATCTAGGTATTTGGAAAGTTTCAACCGCTCAGTGGTAGTTAGCCGGACAGCCTGAACAGCAATCATCTAGAGAAATCCATTAAGTTGATTGAAAACCTAACGATCGCAATAAGAGCTCGCGCTAATCTTCTGCTAAGGCGGAGCATGCGTGGTGCAAGCTCAAAAAGGATGTAGCAGCCATCAAAACCTAATCTGATTCACTTGACTTCCTATCACTTTGGAAAAGACGAGAAATCCTGCTATGTGAATTTTGATGCATGAGTATCCTAACCAATTAGTTCGTCTTCTTCTTCACAGTCCACGGTAATGGTACTCTTGTATGAGACACCACCACAGCAGAGATATTAGGGCTTAAAATATCATCCCATGTACCCTGGCCACTCGAGCGTTAGGCCCGTCGGCACAGAAACCGAAATCCTATCATATGGTGATATGAGCAAACGAAGTATAAATTAGAAGATAAAGAAATAGGTATCAAACAGGGATGTAGGGTTCTTTGAAGTTTTAGGTGACTTCCTATACGGTGCACGAATTACACATAATGCCAAAAAAACCATTTGCAGAAAAACGCTCATTCTTCATTCATACTTAGCGTACGACGCCGTACGGCAGCGAAAGTACACATCGATCTGGCGTACGCAAGCGCCACTCTAGCGAGTGAAGAGTATGGGGAAGTAGAAGGGTAGCAGAATTGGGCATTGTGAAATTGCGGCGAGTGCAACCGCACAGTACAGCTGCAATACACCGTACATCGTTTAATTCTGTGTTTAGCCGCACAATAACGCAAATTTCTCGATAACCATCCTGCCTCAGACTATCTAGTTGCTCAAAAATCTGCTGTATGCTGGCATGCACTGGCGCTAGCGTATGCTCAAAACACTCCCGTACGCTGGCGTACACTGACGCAAAGTATGAACGCAGTCTTAGCGATTATCGAACGTTTCTCTATTTAAGAACTGCTTCACCGTTTTTCGTTGAGCGGCAATACCACATTTCACGCACATAACTGTATGAAACAGAACTCGCATGCCATGAAACCTCCATAAGATTCCCAATACCCGTTGTAAAATTTCAGATGAACGGCGAGCCCTACCTATAAGGCAGAAATGAGGTTACGCAGCATCGGATATTTTGAGTTCGAGCTCCTACATGAAGTTATTATTGCAAAAATGACCACAGTACGAGTATATAAAGATTACAGAATCGGGAAGATAGGCTGCTCGTGGGCTAGATATATACGGTTGCACAACGAATGTATGGAGAAATTTCAAACTACTCACATCGATTGCTTGCCGATAGGACCACTTCACGTACTCCCGTATATGGTTTTATAGGCGAGAGGGAACGGACGTCAATGAGGATCGAGTGCGTCGTTTCGTCCCAGAGAATTTCACACTGTCCTCCTTCACCGATGGCTATCTGAATAGGAAAAACGTTCTTCACAACTACCCTGCTAAAAGACTGGGCACACGAATAAAGTAGAAGACCTAACTAAACCCGAAACATAATGCGATCAAAATTTGAAACAGCAGCAGACAACCCTTTACCCCAACCCCTGTTCTCGGCCCCTTTGCCCCTGGGCAATGCAGTAACGGATTCTAGAGCACGAAATACTCCGGTTTTTTATGCTTTACAGCGCAGCGCACAGCGATAAGGTCATGTTTGTACGTCAGGTAAGTAGTCTCTATAAAGACCTGAAGAGCCCTCACGTTCGCAGAGTATAAACGTCTCTTCCTCCGAATGAGCTCTATCTCTGGTCTAAAGACATTGATGCCATCATTTTTGACTGATATTGTTCTCAAAATGTCATATAAGCTTTCAACGACGCAGGGTTGATCCTCAACAGCCCAGAAATAAGTTTGGATGCTTCGCCGCTGTGCTTATAGTAAAGATCACCAGGACTCAAAGGGGCAGGAACAAAGAAAGTTGTTCCGAACATTGTCCCGCTTGGTAAATCTACAATAAGCAGTACACTCAGAGCGCAACATAGTAGTGGGAAACCCACCAGGAGGTCGATCATATTAGGTCAAGCGCTGGCGAGGGATTATATTAAACCGGGAAATAAAATTTGGTTTCTTTTCCGTTTAGTAGTTTCGCGTGTAAAAACTCCCCCTCCCCAACCCTGCCCATCCACTCTCTTTTTCCTGCGAATTTGTTAAGAAGTATATGAGTGAAGGTGGAGGGGGGCGAGAGGGGGGGGGTCGTACCGGAGTAAGAAGAACACGTTATTGACGACAAGAAAATCTTAGGCGCTGGAAATTCTGACAGTGGTGAGAAAATCTACAATCCAGAAACCATCAAGCCTATGTTAGAAAAAGCGGTAACCTAACCACATACGGCGACTTGGAACTGGCAACTTCGCCGCTGTATGTTTTCCTTTAGTGGCACGAGTAGTTAGCCTTGACAGCAGTACATCTCGAAGAGCCGACGATTCTCTTTCGTAATTCACATCAGGGTAGTATACCTATGAATGACACATATCACAAAAAAAAGAGAAAAAGAATAGCAAAAAGAGGAAAAGGAAAGAACAAAAGAAATCAGTCATCGAAAGAATCGAATTATTCTGGTTTGCTCAGGGAGCGGTCAAATTCGCTGACGCTGAAGTGCCGGTGATTGTTCTCTATAGCGTTGGATTACATCAGACCGAGACCGAGATCGAGCTCACCCGCACACGAAGGAAACAAGCATGAGTTTGTTTCCGTAAGAGAAGGTTAAGCTAAGACCGTAGAATCGTGATCTTATGACTGTTGAAAAAACCCAATGAAATGATCATCTTAGATTACTTCTATGTCTTGTTTATTCGAACTACCACCGCTTGACTGTGGTTGGGCCTCTAGAGCGGACGGCAAAAAAAGACCACCAATTTTACCTCATCGTGAACCGAGGCGTAGCGTGGGAGAGAGGCTTTTATTATATGACCGGATTTTATTGCTTAAATTCTACTTGGCTGGTACGACTTCCTTTCATCCGCCCTTCATTTGTCTGGTATATCTAGCGGTTTGTTTGTTTCCTTCTGTGTAGTTGTTTGTCCTCATTTGTTTTGTGAGTTACTAACAGTCGTGTTCTCGCTGTCGATGGTGCACGCTATGTGCTAACAAATAAATAAATAAATTTCCCAGCGTCGATGAGCAAGACAGCTGCCAAAATCATTCATGAACCCACTTACACTCACAGAGCATTGTTTCAGAACGTCACTCTCAGTAGTGGATATCTCTGCACGTGCGAAGTAATCCAAGTTATCCACCTAAAAATAATTTCAGGTTGGCTCTGCTAATCTAACTTCACAGGGAATTGTCCTAAGGAACTCATATCAAGGAAAATAATAAATGAAGAGTAACACTTCCAAGTATTCGAGGTCTACGCCCATACTTTTGCGTCACGCGCTTTCCACAAGCGTTATGGCTTCAGAGAGTGTAAGGGACTAAGGATATTACACCTACGGTTATCGATCAAGCCATTTTGCACGTACGCACGGCGCTTGAGCGTTTCGCGGCAGTCTTGGGTTGTTGACTAGGACAATCGCTGAACGGCTGACGTAACGCTCAAATGCTGCAGACGCTCGAAGGCTCAAAACTGACGGAATATATGAACGAAGGCTGAGAAAGATGGAACACATTAGTGGTCTGTGACTACCTTATAACTGCCGTTGCTACAGGTCTTGTGATTTCTTGCCAAGTAATCGCAAAGGGGCGTCGCCGCAAAGTAGGTCCAAAACCAATATCAGTTCTCAACCGTTTCCCCTCATCTGAAGCAATTTCAGTTTAAAAATAACAGTAGAGATTCACATTAAAAGTATTTACACATTCCATAAGGACAGCTTGTCATGCGGACTAAAACTCCACAGAACCTCACGAGAGGTTGGAACTGTCAGACCCCAAGTAATGCTCTATTCGATGAAGGGGTTGACACAGGCAAAAAGGTAAAGGTATGCCACTGTTCACCTTCAAAGCAAATGGAGCTCCACGGATGGCGGGTAACGGGAAGGCAGTTACGGAACGACAGTGCTAGGAGTATGTGGTAGGCTGCGTTATACATGTGCGGCAAGCGAGGGTAACGCGCTTAAAGCGTACGCCACGGCCAGTGTCCGGGCAAGGAAGATCTTCAATCTAGCATGTTCCCCCAGCGTACGCTGGCGCGCCGCTAGCGGCACGCTAGCGCACGCTGGCGTAGCGAGGGCACGGGAAGCATAGCTATCGATCTAGCTTCACCAGCGTTTCTCCAGCGTTTTCCCAGCGCTTGCAGCGACGGGGCTAGAGAGGGGCTAGAGAGTATTGAAAGGAGGAGAGTATTTTGTACTCTGCCTAACATTCACATACCCCTAGCTCTGCCGGCCTCTTGGCCGTCCGCTGGCAAGCGCTAGCGGCTAGAGAGTAATTGAAAGTAGGAGACGTACAAATATCTCCCTCAGCCGTTCAACTACCTCCTCGCCCTCTAGCCCCGTCGCTGCAAGCGCTGGGAAAACGCTGGAGAAACGCTGGTGAAGCTAGATCGATAGCTATGCTTCCCGTGCCCTCGCTACGCCAGCGTGACGCTGGGAACGCTAGATCGATATCTATCCTTTCCCCGACACTGCCGCTGGCGTACGCTGGAAGCGCTACGCTACGCTGCCGCAAAGTATAAACGGAGCCTTGGTGAGGAAAAGGAGCAGAAAACAAGTCCGAAACGCCCTAAATAGGACTCCATGCTGGCCCCAACTTGAAAGTACACGCAATGAAGAGAACGGGTTCTGCCTAGAGCCACTGACGCTGGGACACGGGACTAACGGACACTCATGGGCCTAAGTGGTCCGCTTAGAGCGGAATTCCTTGCCAAATTTAACTTTTTAATAGTACCGCAGCCTCCAAAAATCGCCGTACCGGGATCAATACAGCATTCTGAGATAAGAGAGAGAGTATCGCCTATTTATGGACGGAATTTACCTTCTGAAGTGCCCCTTGTTCAAAAAATGTAGGTCGAGTCGAGACTGGTCGGGGTAGATACTGCATAATTAGTCCCGTAGAGTATATAGTACGCTAAAGAAGAATATATAACATTTTGTAGAATGCCTCGCGCTCGCGTCGATTCCTTGATCTCAAGAACAGATACCCATTCTCATCAGCTGCAGCTTTCACAAGAAAAAAAGTTCGTTGAAGACTGCAAGGAAAAGCTGTTCTAGCCATTTCCGAACTACTTCCCCCTATTCTTTCAACTACTACAGACCGTTAAACGTTGTGATCACTTGCCGTTTACCTGTCGTAAATATAACAATCGAGGATTTTTTTGCCAATTTCATCGCCGAGCATAATTTCCAAATACAACACTTTTGCAAGTGTACAGTCTCTTTTTGCAGTAACCTTTACGAACTGGGCTGTAGCAACTCCGCTCCTTTGACTTCATTCAACCGGTCCGTTGTTCTGGTAACACGCTACTCCCATTTCCACCACTGTTCGCAAGCAGGCATTTCGATAGTATGTCCCTTTTCGCAAACAAATTTTGGGATAAATACAAATTGCCTTCAGGATTGTTCCTTTGGTGTCGTTTGTGGAAGACCACACTGCAAATGGGCGCTCGTCCATCTGCAATTCTCGTGTAAGCAGGTGGCACAGAAAGGATTTACACACTTACTTGTACTGCTTTCGTCCCTTCTAACCGTACATCATGAAGATGATACACCTTATGAAATGCAGTGCGAGCTCTTTCAGCTTCTCGTAGAATAGAGAACGGTGAGATATTAATAATTTCGCGACTAAGGCGACGTTGAGACGAAAGAAACTGAAAAGAGAATAATTCAAAACTCATAATGCGTCATACTCTGCATCAGCGTTTTGAGCGCGCTGGATGGATATGTACAGGGGGGAGGGGGCAAAAAAGGCACTTTTCTTCATTGACTTTCGAGGTGCTTTAGTTAGTACTTTGATTACAATCTGATCGACCTTTCTACACCCATTATAAGAGCATTTAATCTATCATGATGCTCCGCCAGCAGCCTTCGGAGAGCCCCATCGAGATTCTGGCGCGATCCGCGATGTGTTGCTGAGATACAGCGAGATAGTTCGATTTTTCTCCGCACCACGCAAAGACCAACCCTACTTTGGAACTACAATTCCATGTGGTGGCACGCCAACCGGCTGTAGCAGCTTCAACGCTGTAAGCAGTAAAGTTTGCCAAGGGTAATGGGCGAACGACACGTGAGGAGGCATATTCTAATCGATTGCTCCAATAACCGCTACGCCACCTTTCCCGGAGTCCGACGAAGAAACCTATTCGGTCTTCCCATTGTAGTTGGAGGACTGTCCGGAAAAGTTCTCCAGCGTATGTGGTTTTCTCTGTAACCGATCGTAACATGTTTTGGTAATACTCATCGATTCAATCGAATACGGCACCATAAAGCGAATCAGCACACTTGTGCGCAATTGCAAAGCAGTCGAAGAAATTCCAGTCAAGTAAAAAACTGGTGTAGAAAATTGACCGAAATCCACACAAGGCTTTTTTGCCTGGTCCTGATTGATGAAGTATTTTCCAGCAAGGGAGTTCTGAAAATGTTAGAAAAGGTGATAGTCGGTTGGCGAAAGGTCTGAAGAATATGGCGGTTGAGGTAGAACTTCAACCCCCAATTCGTTCAATTTATGGATAGTGATTTGTGAAACGTGTGGGCGGGCAATTGTCATGCAAAGAGAATCGGACCCTTTCTTTTGATAAGTGTTGGCTGCATCTGACAAAATTTTCGGTACAATTCGTCGATTTCTTCACAGTAGGGTTCTGCTGTGATGGTTTGGCCTGGTGATAAAAAGTTATAGTGGATTACACCAGCCGATGACCACCCCTGACCAGAATCTTTTTTTCGTGAGGGTTCGGCTTTGAAAATTACCTCGGTGGTTCGTCGAAATCCAACCACTGTCCGGAACGTCTCCTGTTATCATACATGACCCATTTTTCATCAGCACAGGTGAACAATTCGGTAAGAAAGAGGGTCGTTTCCTGTTGTGCAGAACCATCGAAGAAAAGACATCGGACGTGCCGATTCCGCCCGGTCCACTCAAAGTGGCACCTCCAGTGAGTTCTTATTCAACCTTCCCCAATGCCGTTCCCGGCGCATCTGCAACAGTGATTCGCCCCGCCCTAACTCTCCTGCATACCTCTCGAACTGTTTGGGATGGGTCAGCCCAAAATCCCCTTAAAATCCTCGTCAGATATTGCTTTAGGTCGACCGCTATGAGGTTCATCTTCAAGGCTGAAATCTCCAGAACGAAATTTGTTGAGCCATTGCCGCACAGTGCTTTCTCTAGCACTATTGGGCCCCCACACCTGGTTAATTTGTTGAGCTGTTTCGATTGCGGATTGCCCCAATTTATAGTCGAAGAAAAAAATCGTCCGAAGTGCTCTTTTCACATGCTTGAAAAAATCTTGAAAAAAGGGGTTATCAAGCAATGGTGAAACGGCAATTATACCATCAGATAGCGCAAGAAATTCTCTACAGGATGTGCTACTGAGAAGCAAGGCAGAATGAGTTTTTAATCAGCAGTGAATGTACAAAAAATAGGTGCACAAAACGCTGAGAACTTTCCGGACAACCTAATAGGTCGTCAGTCCATACCATTCAACCCCTCGCCTTGCGAACTCCTGGTGAAGCGATGATGTCCCAGGACGTAGCGACGTTGTCGAGCGCACGATGTTGGAAGGGTTTTGCACGAGCATCGACGAGATAAGCTTGTCTCCCAGGTACTATCCACTGGGGGTGCTCCCATACTAGAAGTTTCGCTGCTGTTTGGAGGTGCATGATGCCAGGGTCCCGTCCCAGTCATCTCCAGGCTGCCACTGGAGATGACTTCATATTTCGGTGTACTAAAGGTGATGGGCGAGAGCCAGCTCCTGCTTATCGAGGAACATCTTGGGTATCTTTCGCCCTGGTACTCGTATCCACGTCTTCTCTCTGGGCAGCGAAAACTTTGCTGATATGTGACTCGGTCGAATCTTTTTTTTGCCCCCCCCCCCCCTGTATTCCTCTCCTGTTGCGCCGGAAACCTTCAACTATGGCATAGCTCAACAAGCAGACGCATATCTTATGAAGCATCTCAGAGACGTTAAACTGATGTGGCCCTCGAGCTCGTTCTCAGCGAACACATACCTTCATCTCACGATTTCGTTCATCACTATCGTAGTCCCAATCGTCATTATCATTCCACCTGCGACCAAACTAAAACAAAACTCGATCACTTTCCGAGAAATCAGGCTTGAAGGCGACGGCAGAAAGACTCACAAGGGTCTCATTAGACGAGCGAATAATCCATGACCCGTCCAT